GGACTTCTTGGCTTGGCTGCCACTTATTCACAGGTGTCAGACCCTGTTCTAGGTCCACAATCACAAAACTACTTGCTTCCCAGGAAATATCAGGTGTTTCATGCTGTTCCCTTGGTCCCAAATGGCCTTGTTCTCTCTTCCCCTCCTGGCCATATCCACGCCCCTGCCCCAGCTCATTGCTGACATTCATCAGTCAAGGCCCAGCTCAAGCAGTCTCCTTACCCAGCCACACACCTTATTCATGCTCCAGAATGAAGCACCTTGCACCTGGCCCTTATTGAAATGATTGGTGCACATCTCTAATCTCCCCCACATGATTATGAGTTTCTGCTGAAATAGTGAGATACTTATCTCCACATTCTGGTACATGACAAGCATTCAATAAAAATGAAGGGAATGAGTATGGAGGGGAAAGGGAGGGAAGGAGGAAAGAGGAGACAGGAAAAGGGAGGACAGAGGGAGGGAGGAAGGGATGGTCAGAGGTTAGCAGGACAGATTGGGGAGGACCCGATCCTCCACAGTGATCATCCTCACAAAACTAAACACGGCTTCTCATGCCACACTGCTCACCTCCTAGGAACATAAAAGACCTTCCAGATTAAGCTGTGGCTGGACTACCTATGTGACTACTCTGTTACTTGCTCTTTCAAGATACTAGTACCTTTGGTGTAATTTCAGTTCCATGACAATAAAAGTAATGAGACAGAATCACTCCTCCTATACAGACAAGGAAACTGAGACCCAGACATGTAAAGTGATAGGCCAGGGTTAGAACCCAGGATTCCACAGAGAGCCTGATCTGATCCCTCTAAGGGCCCCAGTTTACCTCCCATTGTGTGCTTGCACGTATGTGTATGGGAGCACAGACAATTTGGCAAGGCACTGTGGGGGCTGGGGGCTTAGTCTTTTCTACTAAAAACATGATTCAACTAAGGCTCGCCTTATTGTGAATCAGAGGCAGCATTTTGTTTTGGGCTTTTTATTCTGCACAAATACGTTGGTATGGAAACCACATTTCTGAGGTTATGATCGAAACACCATTTGCCTCCATTGGTTTTCTTAAAACCTTACATGCTGATAGTAGGTGGGAAATTTCTACATTTGCCACATCAGTTCTTTCTTGGCAACAAGCAACTATCTGTAAATGGTTGTACAGTAATTGTAGCAAACTCTTTCAAAATATTTCATGTTTGTGCTCTTTCAGCAAATAATAATAGCCGTGTTTTAGTGTTTGCCTGCAACTAGCCCATGAACCCCTCGAAGACAGTGCTATTCTTCTATTCAGTTCTGGGTATTCCAGGCTCAAGATGGGGCACGATAGCAAGGAGACATTCAATAAATGGTGACAATAAATGTGACAAGTGGCAGATGTACCAATACAGATTAGAAGCAATAACCTGTTACTTTTGCCTAGCTCCACACAATCTCCGAGGCCTTCTGGTTATTTCATTTGACTTGGTCTCCCCATCTACTCTGTGAGTTATGTAGAACATATGTTATTAGTCCCGTTACATAGAGGAGAAAATAGTAACTTCGCAAAGTCAGAGACAGCTGGGCTCAATCACAAGGGATGAAGGCCAGTTAGGAACCCAAGCTCCAGGGGTCCTGGACCTGGCCTCCCCTAAATGCCTCCCATGCATCATGTGATGGAAACCCAAACCACGGGCTCCAGCCTCAGGCTGCAACACCCTGGACGTCCTCTTCTATTTATTCTCCTGTTTTATGAGCATCTTCAACAGTGATTCTCTTTTATTTTTTTAAGTTTGTTTCTTTTGAGAGTGAGGGACAGCACACACGCACATGTGTGCAAGGACGGGAAGGGGCAGAGAGAGAGGGAGAGAGAGAGAATCCCAAGCAGGCTCCACACTGCTAGTGCAGAGCCTGTCTTGGGGCTCGATCTCACAATGAGATCGTGACCTGAGCCGAAATCAAGAGTCAGAGGCTTAACCGACTGAGCCACCCAGGCGTCCCTACAGTGATTTAATTGTATATTAATTGCTGTGGGCTGCCCTAACAGAATACTACAGACTGCACGGTTTAAAGAACAGAAATCTATTTCTCACAGTTCTGGAGCCTGGAAGTCCAAGATCAAGGTGCCATCATGGTCAGGTTTTCGTGAGAATTCCCCTCTTGGCTTGCTGATGACCACCTTCTGACTGTGTCCTCCTATATAGCCTCTTCTCTGTGCTTGTGAGGAAAGAGAGAGAGTGCTGGTGTCTCTTCCTTTTCTTATAAGGACACCAGTGAAGACCTCATTCAACCTTAATTACCTCCCAAAGGTCCTATCTCCAGATACAGTCACATTGGGGGTTGGGGTTTCGACACATGCATTTGGGGAAGACATAATTCTGTCCATAACAAGTTCAATCCAGATTTCTCCAAAATGCATACAGATTGTATCCTGGCTCCTCTCCCACAGACCTCCCCTGACCCTACACATCCATTTTTCTAATTAGCTTTGGCTTGCCTTTGTTTTAGCGAATTCTGTCTGTGAGAGAGTTCTGGAATATAGTTCATTTGTTCACTAGAGTTTTGTCCCTGTGTTTATCTCAGTTAATTTCTGAGGGCCAGTGAGTGGGAATCATGAATCACTCTATTTTTCCACTGAGCATGAGTCTGGGGACTGCCATGAGGGGCGGGGGGGGGGAGGGTGGCTGATGTAAAGTGGAGCCCCCTGAAATGTAGCCAGGGGCACTTTATAGCATCTGGAAGAGTGGGTGGGGGTCTACTTTTGTCATCTCACCTCTGTCTCACATGATGGGCTGCAGTAAATATCAGTCCCCACAGAGACCAGAAAGAGAAGCCAGCCTCGTTCTGGGCTTCTTACTTAATAAGACCCTGTCCAATAGGGCCAGGACCAGGATGAGGCAGGAGCCAGCCCACCCTGTGAGATCCTGAGAGCCATGCCTCACTTAACCTCACCCTAGGCCTGACCCTGCTGTCCTGGACCTTTTTGATCGTACCCTCCCTCAAAGGAGAAGCTCGCAGGGCTGAGGTCACATGCCCACCCAGAGCCCATGTGCCCCCTTCTAGACCCTGGAATTCAAGTGGCCCCAAGGCTGCATTCGCCTCTTTCCCTGAGGGCAGACCCCACTGGTGGGCACAGCCCTAGGCAGGAGGAATGCCCTCCTGGCTGCCTACGAGGCCCTGTGCAGGAGGGCAGGGATCAGGAGGTGGGAAGAAAAGGTAGCCACACGCCAGTTCTCCCCATCCTGCCATGCCCCAGGAAAGAATCCAAGGATTCTAGGATTCTAAATTTGAAGCTGGTATTCCACATCTTTAAGGAGGTATATTTGTCATGGCAAGACATTTTCAATTGAATGATCTGCTAGTTTGATGTGTTACTTTTAACTCTTTAGACATATGGTATATTCCATCCATGCTCCTGCCCAAGCCCCACAAATGTTCAAGTGGACCTGGGGGAAGCAGCCTTGAGAGGCTGACTTAAGATTCAGAAGCTCCCATGGGGACATGACCACACATACGTGCACACACACACATATGCACACGTGCACATGCGCATATATACAAACAAGCTAGTACCAGAGGTCTGTGTTTCTTATATGTGACCACTGTGATTCTTCCTAGTTATTTATGATCACATCTGCCAGGGTAAAGTGTTGAGGTGGTGTGTGTGTGTGTGTGTGTGTGTGTGTGTGTGTGTGTGTGTGTCATGGGGAGGGAGAAGCTAAAGGTGGGGGGGGGCCCTGTACATGGAAACTGGCCAGAGTTCGATCTGCCTCTTCAAGGTTAGGGGAGAAATTCTGTAGAGCCTTATCCCAGACTCCCTTTATGTCTCCTCTTCCCTCCAGACCTTCAAGTTTCATAGAATATACATACCAGTATACACACAGACATGTGCCCAAAAACACACAGAGACCACACACACACACACACACAGACATATGCAGACACACAAAGATACACATACACAGGCAGACACACAGATACATAGACACACACACAGTATGGATCCTATCACTTCCCAGAAGCCGCTACCAGTCCCTCAGACTCTCCTCTTTTCTGCTACCTCCCGCCACCAGCTTTGACCCATTAGGATTGAGTGTACAAAAAGTGGTCCGTCTTTTGTTGGCCCCAGGACACTACGATGCTGTACTGTCTTGGACGTGCATGCAGAGGTGACACTGGACCCCGTCCAAGGTCACTCTCAGCTGAAAGGTTCCAGGTCCCAGCCCCAGGCTAGGCTAGGCCACGACTAATGTCACTTCTTGATTGTGCCCATTACCAGGGCCATGAATACAAATGAGTGCAGCCTGGGGCCCTTTCTTTTGGGGTCCTCATTGGCAGTGCACCCTACCAGGCCCACCACATGCCCCTGGGTTTAAGAGGTTCTTGGACCCAAGCTGTTGGCTACTGGTTCATGTAAGGGACAGAGCAGAAGAGTGGAGGGGACGCTCTGGCCCCTGGGGGGGTCACAGAGATGGCCTAAGTAGCCTCCTCACAGCCTCACCTTCCGCTCCGCCCCAGGGTCCCTTCAAAAAGACTGCCTGGAGTCTGGCTTTCTCCCTGAGTCCCAGCCTGGCCTCCACCTGCTCCAGCCCCTCCCAGACAGGATCCGCTGTGCAAATACAGGGCCACCGCCAAGTGTGGGAACAGTAAATCTTGCCTCGCTCTTTTATTCATGCCCTCACCTCTGCAGACAGTGCCGAGGCAAAATAAACCCCACAAAATCCCTGTGGGCTCCAGCAGTCTGGCAGTCTCTTCTTTGCTCTTCTCTGCTCCCCTCCGGAGGGCAGAGGCTGGAGAAGAGACCCACCCGCCTCCCAGGAGGGCGATAGCCCCCTCTTATCCTCCTCCCAAGGGGGCTCAGTGACCACCTCATGCCAAGCCCCAGACCAGGATCTGGGGACCAGACATGAGTGAGACCTGGGCAAAGTGGGAAAGCGATGTTCATGGCTTCCGGGAGCAGTGCTACATGTACATCACCTTCCTTGCCTCCCCCAAATTGCAGGAGGGCTTCTGGGCCTGGAAGGATCAGGCTATGTGCCCAGAACATTAGGTGAAGCGACAGCTGTCCTGGCTGCCATCTGAGGGACCACCGTAGGGAAGGACGGACAGCCAGGTCTGTGGGAGACTTGCTCCGAGGGCCTCAGGGCCAAGGCACTATCTGCTAACGTTGCAGCCTTGACAAAACCATCCAGACCTCGAGAATTCCCGGGAACCTTCTCTTCCTCCAACTCTGGGTCACCAGGGAAGCTTTCTTTTAAGCCCGATTGGACTGGAGGAGGCCGAGGGGCACTAGAGTTTACAGAAATGCCTTTTATACAGAAGGGAGGCAGCAGACTTAGCGTGACCCATTGGTTTGCCCGGATGGTAGTTTCAGTGTTAAAACCAGGTCAATCCTAGGCAAATTGGGAAGATAGGGTCACCCTGACTGAAGGGCCATGGGAAAGGATTCTCCCTCTGTGAGGCTGGTAACATGGCCAGGAACGGGGACAGCTTGAACCAAAGCTGCCTGTTAATGGTTCTGGTAGCCAAAACTTTTCCTCACTACTCGTCCTCATGCACGGGGAGAGGCTGGGGAGCAGAGGGGGTCCTGCGGCCAGCTCAGGAGCTGTCAAGAGAAAATGGGCAAAAGGAAAGTGTCCGTGGGTCTTTGAGGTAAGGAGGAAATTCCCTGTGTCTTTAGGAGTCTGCAGCCCATGAGGCCCCACACAGAGCCCAGGGTGTCGGGAAGGAGCTGAGGAGCAGCTGAAACAGTGCCAGTCACCGGGCTCAGCCTGTCCTGGAACACTTCACCCCTATACAAACGCTGGACAGACGGACATGGGGAAAGACGGCTTTTCAAATTGCCTGGTGCTATCTCTCCCCTTTCCCCCAGGACCCAGAGGGTGAGCCTCAAGGGAGAGCAGCTGTGAGTGCCTTCCTCTTATGGGCCCGAGGAGCCAGAACAGTCTTGGTCCTTTAGATCTGTCCCAGGGAACAGGCAGCTGTCCATTGTGTCCCAACTACAGGGTGTGGGGCAGATGTCTCCGGGGGTGACAGAGGTTTGCGTGAAACCTGACAAGGCAGATCCCATGGAGACCACCTGGCCCAGACTCCCTATTTGACAGGTGAGAGCCCAAGTTTGAGGGAGGCTGAGTCGTTAGCTCAGGATTGGGACTCTACACCCTCAGAGGCCACAGCCAAAGATTCCTGGGGAGGGAGGAGGCTCAGGAGTTGAGCCGGGCCCTGTGAGCCCCGCTGCCTTCCTGCAGCCCTCACCCCGCCCTGGGAGAGGCACACAAGGGCGAGACCGGCGCCTTCTGGAGCCAGGACTCCTCTTTCTGTTTTGTCTGAGTCCCCAGCTTGGTCTGCTCCAGCACCAACCCCAGGTATAGACCCTCCAGTGGCTTCCCCTGGGCTGCTCTGACCCGGGGCCTCCAGCGCACGAGAAGTGTGCCCGCCTGCCCCGCGTCTTCCTGTCCAGGTAATGGAATGTATAAGAAAGATCAGCCTTGTCCTCAGGAGTAGGAAGCTACTCCAGGCCTCCTGCTAGGAACTCTTCTAGAGGCAATGGTATTCAAGACAGTTTAAACAGCCATGAGCAACCCTGGGCTCCAATGGGTCAGCAGGAGGCAGAGCCCCAAGGGTGAAGTGTACCCCAAGAGTGCATTCTGATGTGTCTGAGTAGAGGGGTGGGGGGATCCGGACCAGATATGCTGAGAGAGGCTGAATAGTGTAGCTGGGTTCTCTCTTCACTAGCCTGGAGGGTCCTAAGTGCATGGCCAGGAGAGGGCAGAGCACAGAAGGCAATAGAGAGACTGGGGAAAACCATCCCCTGACAGCTGCTGTACCAGCTTTTAGCATTTATAGCATTTCCAGTTTTGTCCTACTGTGGGTGAGCCCAGCACTTCCAAAAATAAAATGTAGGAAAGAGCTTGAGAAATGTTCCTCAGGAATGGCAGGCCTGCCCCCTCATTCATAGCAGCCCTTCTAGGAAAAGCAGGACCTCACGGAAGTTCTAACAAGTAGAGAGAGCCTGCATCCCACTATACCTTCCAGACCCCAAAAGCACAGAAAAGGAGAACGTTTCCACCCTGGGCATGGCAGCCAGGAGCAACCTGCTTACGAAGTCTCCTGGGGCTCACAAGCTCTGCCCAGGCAGGTGGGATGCTGAATCCTTGGAAGGGACAGACAAGTTTCCTGCACAGAAATGCCCTGACTTATTCCACGATAGTCCCCTAGAGCTCCCTTCGCAATTATTGCCTCACCACGCAGCTTTGTGCCTGGCTGGCCACTAATAATTTATTACAAATAAGTCTCCTCGCTCCAATAAGGCAGTCAGTTTCTCAACCTCTGAATTCCCTACAGAGCTTAACACAGCTGGGCACCCAGCTGGTCCTCTTTAAAATCCTTCTGGACCTGAATTTTCCCACCCTTCCTTGCCCCCATCCCCACCGCTGCACTCCAGCAGCTGGCCCAGGAGAAAGAGCCCAGGCACTCTTTCTCCTCATTTTCCTGAGTTGGATTGGCGGGTGCCAGCCAACAAAGGAAGAGCAGGTGGGAGCCTCTGAGTCTGCAGATCTGACTGGTAGCTTGATGAAAGATCCTGGGATCTTCTGTAGGTAAACAGGGAATCACTTTTAGCAAATTCTCTAATTAGGGTTCTCTTTATCGTCCTCCTGTGGAAGATACTCATTTGTAACGTTTAAGTCAGGCCATCAATCTCACGGAGAACTGGAAATCTGTCAGAATATTGCCTAAGAAGGGTCTCTGGCAGGAGCCACTTAACTTCTTCCCAGGTTTTGGTTGCCTCACCTATAAAAAGCAGGGATGGTGATGCATTTGTGTAGGCAGGTGACTCCACTAGGTGATAAAGAACCTTTCACGTCTACACTGCTGTGCAACACTGGACCATCTCGTTCATCCATGTGCCAAACGGTGATGTGGGTGTGGAATAAAAAGATCCAGGGTTCACTGGCGCTTACTAGTGGCTGGTCTTGGGGAGATGCTTCATCTTTCTGAACTAATTTTCTTGCCTATAAAGTGGGCACAATAATAATATCTTCACCGCATAGCTAGTGTGAGATCTCAATGAGGTACACGTGAGCTGTGTTGATAAACTGTAATAGCCCCATGTTACTGATTATTAACCGGCTACAATGACTATGATAAAGGAAAACCTCCCTTTAAATAAGCAAACACTCACAGGGACATGAGAAACACTGAAAAGATTATAGTTGATGGATTTGCAGGTAACTCTTTCCTGCCCAGGGGGATCAGCTGCCCTGAACCTGCTTCTTGAGATGGGGACTCACCAGAGTCAGGTGGTAAATGTTCGAGCTCAGGGAAGAGGCTGGAGATCTAAGAGCTGGGTTGTGGGGGGAGGGGGGGATGAGGCTGTCTGTCACCTGCCAGAGTCTCTCCCCCACCACTTCTCCAATGTGAGAGCCAAATCCCAGCAACCCCTCCCAGGTAATACAGTGACAGTAAATCGAGGTCCTTATTTTTTAGTGCACTTCGCCAAAAGTGAGCAGACCCTCCAGGAATGAATATTCATTTGTACTACCCCTCCAAAAAAAATGCTGATAAATTCATGAAAAAGTTGTTATTGCTAAACGCTAATTGCATTTCCTTGGGTAAGCACCATAAAAAAATTCATTGCACTTTTTAGAAACAAGATGCCAAGTGCATTTTAATTGCTAGAGAGAAGAAAGTCGGGGAGAAGCTTAACCAGGAAAATGCTAACTGGGCATAAACTCAGAAAGAAATCTCCCCGAGACAGAAGGCCCAGTGCTGGAACAGGAGCCAAGGAGACAGAGGTCTCCCAAGACAGCACTGACTTGGGGTGGGGGGGAAGGTCCTCAAACCTGTGCATCAGCCCATCTGGACGGCGGGGGCTCTTTGCTGCAGGTTATGACATGTAGATTCAAGAAATGTAAAGAATTGAATAAGTGAATGCCCAGATTCTGGAGAGAGGAGCAGGAGTCAGATCCGGAGATTTAAGAAACATGTATGGGAGGAAAACTGTAATTCTATCCTTTTAGCGTGTGTGTGTGTGTGAGAGAGAGAAAGAGAGACAGAGACAAAGAGTGTGTGTGTGAAAGAGAGACCGACAGAGACAGAGACACAGATAGAGAGTGTGTGTGTACGAGAGAAAGAGAGACACAGAGAGCAAGAGAAAATGAGGGACTGAGACCCTATATCACTTCACTCCAAGACAGCAGTCCTTGAACCAGTTCACAGAACTGTCGTTATAAAAGCAAAGTCCTAACTGAAGGCCAACCAGAGCATTCTTACATGTCCCCGACCCTGCCCGGTCGGGTCAGCCACAGCCACTTGAGAACACGCAGAGTGGGGAGGATCCTGACTGCATGGGCTTGCCCAGCCTTGACCCCATCTGCCCAGAAGCCTCGGGGCCAGGGGCTCCTCTAAGGAGGCACTTTCCTTGCCTGAGAGACATGGAGAAAGCGGTCCCAGGGCATCCCCGAGCATCCTCCCAAAAGATGCGTGCAGGGAAGGGCAGAGGGGGGAGGGCGGGTGCCCAGCTGCCGCCAGCAGCATCTTCCTCCCCCGCCCCTCCCCCCACTTTTCCAGCCCAGCCCCATCGGCTCTCCTGTTACTGAGGCTCCCTGGTGAGAAAGAGGGACTCAAAACCAGGGCCCAAGAGGAGAGGCCCGGACCCGGAGGCTGGCCTGTGGGCGATGACTGTCTTGTGCGAAAGGAGGTCCGTGCCTTCTGCACCTGGGTCTGCAGCTCCTCCTCCACCTAGCGGGCCTGCCAGAGACCCAGGAAGAAGTGTGAGGCTGCGTGTGGTGCGGTGGAGGAGGAACAGGGCTGGGAGAGGGGGACCTGGGGTGACAGAGGAAGGAGCCAGACCCATGATGGCCCCAATACCTACCAGCCGAGAAATTTCCATTTGAGGAAACCACCGTTCAGAACCTTGGTTTCCACTTCTATCAAATGCAGCTAAAACTATTTCTCTAGGTTTTCTGTAAGGCTTGAATGAGAACAGGGGTTTATGTGTCCCCTGAAACTCTAAAATGTACTACCGGCCACCTGCCCCTGTGCCCAACCCTGGGGAGAGATGCTTCTCATCATCACGCCCTGCATCTGTTAAGTACTTTACACAGAGGACCTGTCTTCACGCACATTATCCTCCTGGGCCCTCCCACTGAACAGATGAAGCCAAGTGGCTTGCCTGATGTCACACAAGAATTAATCCCCTGCTGAACCCACACTGCAAGATGCCGAGCTCTCTCCAAAGTGCAGGGAGTGCAGGCACTCACAACTGCCTTAGAAAGCAGGAACGAATGATGGTCGGAAATACGCCCCCGAACAACATGAGGACCACCCACCACAAGCCTAGGGCTGCGCGGCTGTCTCGTGGTAATCTTACCTCACTACATCGCCGCAGGAGCATTCGAGGTAGCCGTGAGCTACTACCAAGAAACTGGGGCTTGCCAAGGTTAGGGACGGGCCAAAGCTCACCCAGTAAATGGCAGATCTGGGCTACAAACTCAGGTCCACTCTTCCCTAGCTAATACTTAAATTGATAGAAATCCAATGCATTCAGTGCTATAAGCATCACTTCCTCCTCCCCATCTAGGGACCATTCTTCAGCCCCAAGCAGCGCCCAGACCTAAGAGCTGAGCATCACCCAAGAGTTGGGTCCTTTATAAAGCTGCCCGCCCACCCCTGCCCCCACACTCACCCTCGCAGTGTCATGGATCCAGTCCAGGAACTCGGCAACCTTGGCATAGACGCCAGGGTGATTGGGCTCCGCGCAGCCGCGGCCCCAGCTGACCACCCCCACCAAGTGCCACGTGCCCCCGTCCAGGCACACCAGGGGGCCCCCGCTGTCACCCTGAGGGATCCAGACGTAGAGACACAGAGAAGCGGGCAGTTAGTCCTTCCTGGTGGAGGCGCACCAGAACTCCCCAAAGCACACCCTCTACGCTAGGCCCCTTCTGCTTCCAGCATGGATCTCCGCTCGCCTCGTCCCTCCATTAATCCTTGGCTGCACTACTCAACTCGCCTAGACACCCATCCTCCTAGAGAGGCTGCTCAGACTAGGGGCCAAGCCCCAGCAGGAAACCCCTCATCCCCACCCCCGACCACGGTCCCGCTCACTGCTGCACCTGGCACGCGTCGGCCCTCCCGTCCACGTAGCCGGCACACAGCATGCGGGGGGTAAGGGCCCCGCTGTACATGCAGGAGCTGTTGCAGAGCCGGGTGCCCAGCAGGGGCACCACCGTGTCCTGCAGGGTGTCTGAGCTGTGGGCTGCGGGAGGCAGACATGGAGATGGAGGGATACAGAGCCGGGCCGTGGGGCACAAAGCAAGGCCAGGAAGACACAGCAGCTGGAGGGAAGGTGGTTAGAGGCCCCGGAGACACGAGACCCAAAGAGCAGAGCCCAGGGTGGGAGCTGTGGACCCCGGGAAGGAGGCAGGGGTCTGTCAGACTTAAGAGTGAAGAAGGCCAGAAAAAGGGCAGGGGTATAAAAGGCCTGGCTTCAGGGGAAACTCAGGGGGTGTTCTCCCAGGAAGACCCAGGCAGGGGAGACTGAGGCCAACGATGACACCAGAGAAAAAGGGGGTTGGCACTGCCATTTGGCCCAGGGGGGGAGGTGGACATGGGAGGTAGAGGTGTGTCACCTTGGGGGAGGATGCTCCCCCACTCCCCCACCCCTTTTGTACCCAGGTCCCTGGGAGCTGACTCACTGTGGCTGGGGTCGGTGTGGCCCCAGCCAGACACCCAGCACTGTGAGCCCCTTGGGAAATCTTGCTTCTCAGCTGGCAGGCACACAGCACCCACAGTGTCTGTAGAGAAACAGGTGGTTCTGGGCTCCACTCAGGCTCAGCTTCCCTTCCCCACCACCTCACCCTCAGCCTCGGGGAAGAACCAGGCCTGGCAGTTCCTCCTCACCCCCTTCTCAAACAACCCTGGTTCCCGGCCTCCACCAACCAGGTCTCCTGTAAGGTTGTGCAGGTCGTGCACCGTACCACATTGCAGGGGGGGGCCACCATTCGCACAGAGGACAATGTGTAAACTGCAGTGTGCAGGGTGCCTTCTAGGCTGGGCAGTGCACACCTCCAACCCGGGGACTGAGGGAGAATGAGAATTCCTTCTGAGCATCTGTACTCCTTTGGGACTTCACTTGGGGTGTTGGATCCCTCTTCCGGAATTGTTTCCAAAAGTGTGGCAAGTTCTATGGTTGGGGCCCACACTTGTCAGGTGGCACATAGACATGCCATTAAATAATCGCTGATGCGTGAGGGGAGGAAGGGTTTTCTTCTGGGTTCTCCTTCAGTCCCTCGAACTACATCATGGAGAAAGATTCCATGGGGTGCCCCTGTGTGGCTCTCCCAGTGCCTGTCAACTTCCCCCTAAATACGGAGACAGCAGGCCCAGACGCCAAATTCTGCAGAGGACTTGAACCCTGGCTCGTTTTCACTCTGTGTTTTCATGGTTGTTACCTATTTATTTGCTACAAGTAATGTGGGCTCTCCAGTTAGGCAGTAGCTTGAAGTTCGCCTTTTAAAGGTACTTAAGTCAATTTAGGGGCGCCTGGGTGGCTCAGTCGGTTAAGCATCCGACTTTGGCTCAGGTCATGATCTCGCTGCTTGTGGGTTCAAGCCCCGCGTCGGGCTCTGTGCGGACAGCTCAGAGCCTGGAGTCTGCTTCGGATTCTGTGTCTCCCTCTCTCTCTGCCCCTCCCCTGCTCACGCTCTGTCTCTCTCTCCCCCTCTCTCTCAAAAATAAACATTAGGAAAAATAAATGTACTTAAGTCAATTTAGAAATATGAACTGTTGAGCAAAAGTTCAGATTCACGTAGGCCCAAGGGTATGTAGCAACACTGGGATTTGGGAAACCCAAGGCCATGGGTGGAGGTGGGAGAGAGGAGCGCTGAGTGTATGTGAGTGTTGTGCGTGTGTGTGAGAGAGCGTGCACGTGGGTATTTGCGTGACCACTGGGTGAGTGCGTGTGCGTGTTTCTGTGTGTGTGTGTGTGTGTGTGTGCATGTGTGTGTGTGTGTGTGCTGGTGAGCACGCACATGCACGTGCATGCTGGGGGGGCTTGCTCTTCGAGGGCAGGTGCTGTGGAGAAGCAGCCCTGGAGCCCAGACACCAGGCTCGGGAACCATGTGCCATGTGACCTTGTAGAGCGTCCCTCTCCTCACTAAGTGTCACTGTCCTTGTCTGTACATACCTGTCTCATCTACCTGTCAGGGTTGTTATGAGAGTTGAAGGAAAGACATCTGGAAAACTGTGTAGCATGTCACGCTGTGGCATGGGGACGGGGGAGGGGCGGTCTGTTGGTAGATAGAGCAGCCAGGAGCTCCGCTGGGGACTTGGAGGCAAGACCCGCTTGCAGTCCAGCTGCAAAAAGGGCCAGAACCTTTGTCCCCAAAAGAGCCTGCGCAAGTCTGGGTGAAGCTGAGGTCCAGGAGATGGCAGAGCTCATCCGATGAACTGAGTGTGTTAAGGTTTACAGCGCTGGGCGGGAACTCAGAAGGGAGCTCACCTCTCAGGCATCCCAGGGCCTGCCCTGCTCCCGCCACGGCCCGCAGCCTGTTCGTTCCTGGCTGGTGCCTCACCTGAGAAGTTGAGCGGTGTCCGGAGCTGGAGGAGGGCGACATCGTAGTCGTGATTCTGGGTGCTGTAGAGGGGGTGAGGGATGATCCTCTCCACCACAGCCCCTTGGTGCGGCCTGACGGCACTGTGGCTCACCAGCCCCGTGTACACCCGCCAGCTGGACAGCCGGGACAGCCTAAAACTACACACAGGAGCCGTGCTGAGCCCAGGGAAGGGAGGGGCAGAAGGGGCTGACATAAGCATGCCGGCGGATGGAGGAAGCTGGCCAGAGAAACCATTAATGGAAGCCCCCATCACCAGGCTGGGCACTCGCAGGACCCAGGGGCCAGGCCTCTTAGTATCGTTGCAGCAGCTGGCAAGATACTGGGCACATAGTAGGTGCTTAATAAATGCTGCAGAACGGCCAGAGACATGAGACACTGGGGGTCATCTGCAACCCCCCAGCCCCTCTGTCCTGAATGAGCCCCCTCCACATTTTGTGATGAACATCAAAGGGGCTTGTGTGACCTCCTAACTCTGAGTCAGAAAAAGTTCTGGGAGTCCTGCCTCTCCACTTACTACCTGTGACCATGGGGAAGACACCTCACCTCTCCCAGCCTCAGTTTCCTCATTGTGAAGTGAGAAGTGTGCTACTGCCCTGCCCGCCGCCAAAAGAAGAGGTCCAAAGAGCTATTTGCTCGTCATTCATCCCTTCCTTGCTCCAACCAGTATTTATTAAGCACCTATTGTATTTCAGGACTGTTCTAGGCCATGGGGACATGGCCGTGGACAAATCAAGAAAGGGACCCAGGGGTAAACAAGACTGAGAGCCCCCGTTCCTGGGGAGCTTCCAGTCTAAAGGGGAGGAGAGACATTAAACAAATAATTACCCGGAAGGTGATTTAATGACACTTGTGATAAACATTAAGAAGCACAGAGCGCTGTGAATACGAAAGTATTTTGAAAACTTCAAAACTGAGCCAGCACAGAGGACCAGTCTTTGTCTTACTGCTGCTACTCATGCAAATTGTTCTTGGCACTGAACGGGGAGAGCACTTCGCAATCCGTGCCCCTGAGGACGCACATGGGGAGGCAGACTGTTCGACGTGGACTTTTTTTTTTAAATTTTTATGTTTGTATTTATTTTTGAGAGCGAGAAAGACAGAGTGCGAGTGGGGAGGGGCAGAGAGAGAGGGAGACACAGAATCCGAAGCAGGCTCCGGGCTCCGAGCTGTCAGCACAGAGCCCGACGAGAGGCTCGAACCCAAGAACCGTGAGATCATGACCTGGGCCACCCAGGCGCCCTCGACATGGACATACCAACGGCCAAACGGAAAAGGCAACTGAGGCCGTGTCCTCCCCAGCAGCCCCCGAGACTTGCCTGTGCATGCAGTGCGCGGCCGTCATCACCCAGCGTGGGGCCAGCACAGAGCCCCCACACGTGTGCCGGGAGCCCAGGGCCACACTGGCCTGCCAGGGCCAGCGCCCGGGAGCCACGGCCTGCCCGCCAACTATCCGGGAAGCCAGGGGCCTCGTCCCACACTCTGCAAACAGGAAAGCATGAGTGAGATGGTGACTAGGGAAGAGAGGTGGGTGATAGATTGGTCCTAACTCTCGGGGAGCACGGTCCAGTGTGGACGGCTCTGATTTATTTCTCCCGACCCTGAATTGGGGGTATGAGAAGGCAGAAATCAGTCTGCGAGCTCACGGAGGCCCACACCCAGGCCTGTGTTGTGTGCAGAGCCCCGACACCTAAACAAATGCCTGTCCCACAGGAGGGGTCAGAATGTTGGTGTGTAGAGGGATGCATGCAAAAGGAGAGGTGAAGACACAGACGGATGATTGGGGTCACACGCAAGGAGCTCTGCAGACTGTCTCCCATGCAGCCCCTGGTTTACCACCTGCCTTAGTCTCCTGAAGTTGCTCACCGGTTAACGGCCTATAGTAATCCCCCTGGGGGCTCTCCAGAGGAAAGCGGGAAGGAGCCTCAGAAGTCAAGACAGATAGTGCTAGGAAGAGAAGCAAGATCATCCAACCAGATCGGCGGCTGGTGGGGGACACGACAGAGGAGTGGACGGGGCTCTGTTGAGATGGAACTGTGTCTGCAAGAAGGTGACCGGCAGGCAGAGGGGAAGGTGGGCAAGGAACCCCATCCCACACCCACGCTGTGTGGCTCTCCACACTCAGGACAGTGGGGAGACCCTTTCCTCCCACTGCCGCCTTCCTGGACTGGACACATGACTCACCAGAGCATCTGAGGGAAACGATTTGACCAGAAGCGCAGCTGTCCCTGCAAAATGGAGATGGCAGCAAGAAGCTGGACAGGGGCCCACCCGAGGGCATGGAGGCCAGGTGGAGACAGAGGAGGCCTCCGGTGCAGCCCCCCTCTCTTTCCCACCCCCGCCCCAAGCTCCAGGCCCCTCCTCATTCACAGGCCCCCAGGACAGCACTGCTACCCTGGCCCACTGCCCCACCCCAGGGTACCAGCGGAGGTCGTGGCCCTTGAGGGTTGTCCTAGACAGGGCCCCAAGTTACAGACAAGAAAGTCCAACTGTGCCCACTGAGAGCCCCCAAATGGACGTGTTTTCGGTGGATGAGCGGATAAGGGACTGAAGGAAGAACAGGGAGCTTTGTCCCATGCCCCTCCTGGGCTTACTCTCTCTTCTCTATCCCCCGCCCTTTGCTCTCCTCTTCCCCTCCTCCTTCTTAGCAAACCTCCATTCCTGCTGGACCAAAGCCCTCTTCTCTCACCTGCTCTTACTGGCCCCAGCAGCCTAATGCCTCGATCGTTCTAGTGTCTCAAACCCACAGCATCCCGGCTCTCCTGGCAGAGTGAATCCCCACTCATGGGAACGGAGTTTGTGATTTCAGACTGGGAAATGTTCCTCTGTGTCCTGTATCACACGGCCAATGTCTTTGCTACCAGCCTCCCATGACAGGAAGATTTCTGCCGGACTGTTCACCGGGAAGTAAGGGACCCCACTCAATCTCCTCAGAAGCCCTACCTGGGCTGCCACACCTCCTCCAGGAAGCCTCCCAGTCCTGGAGAGAGCTGAGCAAACCCCTGGGAGCTGTTGAGCTGGATGTCAGACAGGTTCACTCCCTTGTAGTGAGTGAGTCTTGGCAGAAGAGGGGAACAGAACGGGAGGAAATCGGTTTGCACTGTAGCACAGGAGATGGCAGTTAATCATGACCGGGATATACGTGATATACAATCCACCCAACAGTACCCTCACTGAGCAAGACTTTGATAATGACTTCTGGGATTTATATTTGTTAAAAAGCAGTATTGCTCAAAGGAGAGAAACAGGCTGGGGTACCATCGTGTCCGGAGGCCAGGAGATGGCCAAAGTGACCTCTTGCCAGTTCCTGAGCACTTTGATGGGGACGGGCAGATAGAGGTCTCCAACTCCCCCTTTCCTACCACCAGCCTGCCACCCTCCCCGGGCCCCTAGCCTGGCCCCAGTTACCTGAGATGTCCCAGGCTCTGGCAGATCCGCAGCCCCAGGGCAGAGCTCCAGCCCTCGTGGCAGACCAGGAGCCAGTCTGGCCGAGCCCTCACCTGTACTGCCAGCAAGAAGCCCTCAGGGTGGATTCTGAAAGATACTGAAGGCACAGCATAAAAGTCACATCCTACCTGCTGAGGGGTAGAGGGGCAGAGTGGCCAGGGGGAGCTGGACCTGGCCGTGCGGGGACCCAAAGAGGCCTTAATGACCCCTGTCCGTGCCTCAGCTAGAGATCAAAACAGTCCCCGGGGTGTGCTGGATGCTCCGAACCGGAGATCCACTTTTTGAGGCTGGACCATGTCACTCCCTTCCCACCAGAGGAGGAGACCCGGATGCAGGCAGTGGATTCATGGCCTTCCATTTTGGTCCTCTTTGCCCCTGGCCAGAAGTGGGGAGCCCAGAGCTCTGACGGGGCTCAGGGCTGGGGGGAGGGCAGTCTTGCTGCCTTGGGGGTGTGGCCCACCTGTTCTGGGAAGCGAAGGGAGCAGGGCTTCCTCACCACTGGCCTCTGAGCAGCTCAAAGGCATCTCCTCATCCTGCAAGTTCCCGGGAGATGGCTGAGAGGCGGCTGGCCACAGATACAGCACTTCAGAGGACAAGGACAGGGAGAGGTCACAGAGAAGAGGCTAGGAGAAGGGAGGGATTCCCAAGGAGAGGGCCAAGGGGCAGAACAAGACCCCTGCAACAGAGGGAGACAAAAGCAGCTGCCTGGGGACTCACGCACCACCCAGCCTTAGGCGGGTCCCCCAACTAACACCCCGAGGAGAGCACACTCTGTCTGTCCCTGTCTCCGTCTCTCTCTGACTGGGAATGATTTCTAGAAAACGTCTGCCCTGGGCCTCCCCGGGTCATCCATTCAAGTACCTTACACTTCTCACTGTAGGACTAAAACATTCTTTACGCGGAGCCTAAATCCCTCCAGCTGCGAATCCATCCCTTCTCCCCTGCTGTCAGCTCGGGGTAGATCAGAAAGACGATCTTCCCGACTGCCCTTTACACCCGCTTGTGTCTGGCAACAAGGACCCCCCAGATCCTGTTCTCCAGCCCTCCCCAGAGCACCGACGGGCCCCAGCACTGACCGAGAAGCCATGAGCCGACGCTCGCACCAGCCAGCAGCGCCAGGGCGCCCAGCCCCACGCAGCCGCGCCGCCTTGAGCACCAGCGCCCCGCCTGAGAGGCTGTGGGAGAGGGCAGAGGAGTCTGGGTGCCCCGCTCCTGCCTGCCAGCCTCACTCTGCCCTGAGGCACCTCCATGGGGCACAGCAGCCACTGGGCTGTGGCGGGAGTTTGCTCCCACTGTCCCTGCCCCATCACCACAGAGCCCACTCAGTCCCCAAACTGGGAAACGGCCAAAGCGGTTCCGGGAGGAGCAGTGAGGCTGCCTCTCGCCATCGGTGATTTGGGACTGGCCCATGGAGGGTCTGGGGAATGTGGACAGCTTATCCACTCACTGTCTCCACCCTATCATTCCCCTATAGCCCAATCTCGCCTACTGGGATGCTGCTGGGCCTCAGGCCTCCTCAGTGGGTCTCCTGGCTCTGCTCTGAAGATCCCAGGTCCTGGACCCTCCTCTGCATACTGAGGCTCCATGTGGGCTTGGCCATCCGGCATCAGGCTCTGGGAAAATAACTGTTGGTCACTCAGGATCCCCACACCACGGTGAGAAGTCACAGCCCACTACGAGCCCTCACTCTCTAACCTCGGCTGTGCACTCACTGCCTCTTCTTCATCTTAGACACTCTCTCTGTCTTCCCACCGATGCCCAGGCCCCTCCAGGCCTTCTCCGCTCCCCTGGATCCCCTAACCTCACCCACCTTATTCTTACAAGGCCAGTAAGCATCAGAGCGGGTATTCAAACCCAGACTGGGCTGACTCTGAAACCCACACTCCTCACCACCCACTCCCCTTGCCTCCCACAGCTATCAAGGGCATCCACTGAGCCTCTCCACATCCCTCCTCAGGCCTCCAGACCCCAGCCTTCTTCTTCCCCTCCTGTGTCAGAGTAGGAAGTGCCCCTGCACAATGCACCATATTTAGCCCAGGTGGATAGGCCACAATGGGGGACACTGTAGGGAATTCAAAATAAACCAACATGGAACACTCCCCAGCTGCCCCCAAAGAATCTGCAGTGGAGTCCTGACAATAGGTCATGTAAAAAAAGCAGAATATGTTAAGTGACAGAAGGGAAGTTCAGTTTCACCACCATTGGCATTCAGAAGCAGAGCTTACTTCTCACCGGGGAGATCAAAAAAGGCTTCCCAGAAAAGGCAGCCTGAGACAGGCCCTCCGAGACGCACGGGGCCTACATGGACATATATGGGCATTGGGTGTTCTAGGCGACTGAAGAGGCAAAAGCATGGGGGTGGAAAAGCACAGAGCAGAGTAAGTTATATGTTTGCCTGAAGTTCATGTGCCGTGAAGAAGAGTAATGGAAAATAAGATCTTGGGGGAAATACTGGAAGAGCAGTTCAAAGCTAGGTCTGCAGCCTAACACCTCTCCAAACTTCAGTTTTCTCATTTGTAAAATAAGAGTGATCACCATTACTACCCAACAAGTAATCTCCCTCCTCTAGTTCTTGTCTCCATTCATTCTCCGTGTCAGAGCAATCCTAAAATTCAAACATGAGCAAGTTAATCTCATCTTTAAAGGACCCAATGAGAGGCGTCTGAGTGGCTCTGTTGGCTGAACGTCCGACTCTTGATTTCAGCTCAGGTCATGATTCCAGGTCATGGGATCGAGCCCTGCTCAATCATGGGCTCCTCCCTGAGTGTGGGGCCTGCTTAAGATTCTCTCTCTCTCCCTCTGCCCCTCTCCCCCCACCCTCTAAAATAATAATAATAATAATAATAATAATAATAATAATAATAATAAAGTACCAAATGAATCTCTGTAGTCTGATAAATCCAAAGTCCTAAGACATGGTTCAGAAAATCCCCTGTGATCTCACCCTTCCTCACCTCTCCATCCCCAGCTGCCAGCATGACTCCCTCCTCAGTGGAATTCAGGATCATACTAACACACATGCCAGTCCTCCAGGCCTTCACGTGCTCTCACACCACAGAGACTTTGCACTTGCTGTCCTTTCTCCCATGTAGCTGACTCCTAGGACCCTTTATGACATAGCTAGACATCACTGCTCTAAGAAGTTTCCTTCAACCCATAAGGCACCTGTTTTGGCCCTATATTGTGCTCATTTACCTCTCTCTCTCTCTTTCTCTCTGCCTTTCCTCACTGGTCTAGGCATCCCTAGATGCCCCGTGGGGTGGGGAGAGAGAGAGAGAGAGAGAGAGAGAGAGAGGCCAGGTCAGGGATAGCACAGATGTAGGTACAGCCTTACCATTTGGGTCAGTGGCACCAATGTAAAGCCTCAGGGTCTGCTAGTCAGGGTTCTGCTCCTGTTCTTGGATCAGCATTGATTAAATAGCCCAGCCAGCTTGGCTGGAGGGTGAGGTTTCCCTAGTTCACATAGGGCCCCTCCCTTTATCCTCCCCCCACTACACACACACACACACACACACACACACACACACACACACGTGCGCGCACGCGCGTGCCAAAGAGACAATAACTCTGCTCAGAAACCATGAATAGACCCCTTGTTGCAGGGAAAGGGGCCAAGGGCTGGGCTGGGCTGGGCAGCCTCAGGCCCTCCCATCTGCTAACTAGAAGCTTAGAAACAGAGAAAAAGGTTATAGGGAGGAGGGAAGGCCAGCTACTGTTGCTTAGCAACCAGGTCCCTTGCGCCAAACAGTGTGCCCCATGCATGCTAGCACATTCCCCCTTCCTGCTGACAGGGCTGTATTGGAAAGACTGATATTAGCATTTGTTGAAATGTTTCTGAGCCCTCTGGATTACATCTCATCTCTGTGTGGGTTGGCTTTCCCAGCAGTGTGGGGCTGTCACCATGTTGGAATTGGGATGATAATGAGGAATCTTAGTCGTTTCTCTCCTCAGGGCTACACCTGTCGCCCCAATGCTGAGGAAATGGGGCCTCTCCCCCCAGCTGCCCTGGGGACCAGTTACTACAGGAGCCCCCAGTGCTATCTTGCTTCAAAGCACAAAGCGGCCCGGCTGAGCTGAGCACGCCTGGGAACCACAGCTCTTCAGAGAGGCAGAACAGGTCCCAAGGAAGAAAAAAGACTTGTGTGGCTTCCCCTGTTCCAAATGCTTCCCACGGACCCCTCAGATAGAACAGTTAGGAATACGGGCTTTCACCTAACCCCAGATCTGCCACTTCCCTTACTGTCTCACCTGTAAAATAAGGAAATAGTACCCACCTCATGGGACTGATGTTGGAAATGAAGGAGATACTGAATGTAAAGCTCCTAGCCTGATATCTAGCATAGAATCTACTCAGTAACTATTAGCTGCTATCACTATTATGATTATTACTGTTGAACCTCATCCACACAGCCTTTATTTTTGCTATTTTCCTCTTACATTCAGTGTGTCAACTCTGAGCTTATGGTAATCACACACAGCACCCCACACTTCTAATACAATGAAGAGACAGAGGTCAGCTATGAATCACAGAAGGAGGAGGAAAGAACTGTTGGCGGGAGCCGAGAATTCCCTGGCTAGGCTCTGAGATCCCCTAAAACAAATACCCCTCTGCCTACATAGATGAATAGTTACTGTGTCTGGAATTAGTTTGGGCATGGAGAATGAATACGTCACAAACTAGGAAACTGCAGGCTGAGGGAAGACACAGGAACAGGTATAAATAATTGTTATTTGTGAAAAGTGAAATAACAGGGGCATCAACATAGATGTATAGGAAGATAAAGAAATAACCGAGTCCTTTGCCCAGAGGACACAGAAAAGGCTTTATAATAGAGGAGACATTTGAGCTGTGTTTTAAGAAATGAGAAGGCAATCACAGAGAAGGGCATTTCAAATATGTTACAGGTGATGTCAGTGAAAATGCCAGAGTAAAGCCCTCTGAAAATTCTCTTCTTCACAAAAGCAAGGAGAAAACTGACAAAAAATTATCAGAATCAACTTCCTCAAAAGTCTGGAAATTAACCAAGGGCTTAATATGGAAAGTGTTTATTCAAGAAAAAGGACACAATCTTGGTAAGAACAGTGAGCCTTTATGGCATTTTAATGTTTATTTACTTTTGAGACAGAGAGACAGAAAGACAGAGAGAGACAGAGTGTGAGCAGGGGAGGGGCAGGGAGAGATGGAGACACAGAATCCAACGCAGGCTCCAGGCTCTGAGTTGTCAGCACAGAGCCCGACGTGGCGTTCGAACCCACAAAACGTGAGATCATGACCTGAGCCAAAGTCGGACGCTTAACCGACTGAGCCGCCCAGGCGCCCTGCTTTATGGCATTTTAATTTGCTGTAATTCCATCACCCTCTCTCCAGCGCTGAAGTAGCCTTAGGAACCAACATCCCATGATCACAGGGAAAATCAGCAGCTTGGTAGTCAGAGGTAGAAGAGGGTTGGAGCTCCTTCAAAAAGCCTCATTTCCAGAGAGCAGTCATTATTTGAACTGTCTGGAAGATCCCTTTTGCAAGGCCATCTTACTTTGACTGGCCTCTGAGCTTGCCCAGGATGAAGAGCTTTTTCCCTAAGGAGGTCTGTTGAAAACAATCAAAGACAATTGTGGGCCTTTATGGCTGCCTGAGGCAATGGATAACAGTTGGGGCAAACAATAAGCTAATCAAAAACCTTAAAATAAAAAGCTGGGGAATAAGGTGTCCATAAGGGGATTTTGAAATATTCCAGAGAATCTAGAAAGCATGCATATGCATAGGAATGTGCACATACCCAGGGCTGTGTACTTATTTAGGAAAGACTTCAGGAAGGTCCTAAGCTTTCATCTCTGGCTAACCTTGATGCTCTAAAAAAGTAGGAAGTGAAGGCTAAGGCAGAGTTGTAAACTTCCTGGCTGATTGTTGAAGGCCTGCCCCAACATGCCCCTAGAGCCTCTGCACAGACTGAGAGACTTATTGGTTCTAGGCATCTAAAGCAAATCTCTGTCCAATCTTTAGCTGACCACTAAGCTGACTGAGCAGAGACTTCAGTGGCCACACATGACAAAGAATACATAGGCATTACAGAATTCGTTCAGAAAAGTCACTAAACAAACAACATCAACAACAATAAACACCAGGGAAGAGGGAGAATCTGATTTCCAGAGTTGATGTATTATATCATTTAAAATCCAGTTTCCAACAACAAATGGTGAGGCACACACACACACACACACACACACACACACACACACAATAAGAAAGTATGGCCCATATTCAGGGGGTAGGGAAGCAATCAATAAAGGGGTTCTGGTTCAAGATGATGATATACAAAAAGCTCCTGAACTCACTTCTTTCCACAGACACAGCAAACCTACAGCTACACACAGAGCAATGGAGCTCACTTCCAAGTTCCTTCCATGGAAGGCCTGAGCATCCTGTTCACCTTACAACTCATGTAAGTTATAATACGGTGACTGTAGTTTATAACACTGCAACGTATGATTAGATTTTGCTAAGAGTATATAACTTAAATGTTCTCACCAAAAAGTAAGTAAACAAACATGTCTACAAGTAAGTAAACAAATATGTCTAAAACAGGTGATAGATGTGTTAATAAACTCGACGAGAGGAACCCTTTCACAATGCACATAGACATCAACATCATTAAGATGCACACTTTACTTTTACAATCACAAGTTTATCAGTCATAAGCCTCCATAAAACTGAAAAAAAAAAGCGTGGGTTTTAGATTCCACTGAGACCGGCCTCTTCCTGGCCATCCTTCTCTGCTCTGCTACCTGAGAAGGCTCCCTTCTCTTTCTCTCTGCTACTCCTTCCATCCCAGATGAGCTATTCTGAGGGCCCTGGCTGTTTCCCTGGTTTGGACAGAATACCACCACCAGGGTAAGGCAGCAGGAGCCTACGGTGCAAAGTGTAAGGAGGTAGTCACTAGCAAGTGGAGTGTTAGTACCTGACTACTCTAAGAGTGATGCCTCCTTAAATTTTGTGCCATAGGTTGTGCCATCTGAAAACCAGCTGAAGTGTGACCCCTCTGCACGAAGGCCCTGGGATCTCTATTTTTACCATGGTGATTCAAATACAGCCTCATCCTAGTTCTGACCCTGCTCCTCTACTTTCTTCCCCCTGACAACTCCCTGACTCCCAGGACCATGTCTATGGATAAGCCTCAACTCATGAACCTTGAAATTTTGCTTTCTCTCCTCCTACAGTGACTATTCTCAAAAATATCAGCTGTCCTTCAGAGGGGCCCTGGCACTTTCAGACAGAGAAAAAATACCTAAGTTCAAGTTATACAGAATTCTCGGACTTACAAACTTTGTTGAAAGGATCTACCATTGAATCTACCATTAATGCTACAGGAAACTGGAGGTGGTCCAAGCCCAGGTCTCCTGACGTCTGGTCCAGGGTTTCCCCCCACTCCTACCACATACATGCCCCACACGTCATGTCTTCACAGAACATGTGGGCTCAGCGAGAAGAAGGTCCCCCTGTGGACCACAGCTCTGGCCAGCGCCTATGGAGTTCCATCCTGCTCCTGATGTCCCCTTCCTGTCTACCGGTGGGTGACAGCTTCAGCTCTTGTTTGTGGATTTAAGCCTGCCCATGATCTTCTGTTCCCGACTGCCTGCCCTACCGATTTCAGACTTGCTGAGATGGCCCCCATAATCACTCTCTCTTTCTTTCCCAGAGGAAGAAAGTCTGGCGCTTCCAGTGTAGTTCATGAGAGCACACGTGGGGGGAAATGCAGGATCAAGATTTCGAGAGGCTCTGTACGTCCCCTTCAGTTCCATCTCCTTCTGTGGCTTCATCTGTACCAGGAATGCCTCTCTCGCTCTCATCCAGCCTCTATCTGTTCATCACCCATCTGTATCTACAATATCCCCAGGTCCCCTCAAACAACTCCCACCCCCTCCCAGTTCAGTTTGGCTCATTCCACTGGGGTTAGTTCAAGCCATCGGACCCTCTAATGCCATCCCACAGTCTAACGAGGCCCAACGGCATACCTCCTTCCACCCAACCCTCTGCAGAGTAATTTTCTCAATGAAGAAATTAATGATACCTAAATCTAATAAAAGAAAGCTTTAGTGAGTGAAAATTGGGAAAATGCGAGATCCAGTTAACTTATTCTAGACCATTACTGCGTATTAATAGGCAGCCAAGAAACCTTGACTGTTGCCATTTTGCTTGCATTGAATACAAAGAAATGGATAAAAGTGTATTTAGAAGGAAAAGAATAGCTATGTGATCTCATATAGTAATCGGTTGTTTATTCATTAGCACAGTGCTTTCTGAGTACTCTCTTACATCTTGTTACTCTGACCAAAATCTAAAGTAAGGGATGCCTGGGGCACCTGGGTGACTCAGTCTGTTAAACGTCTGATTCTTGATTTTGGCTCAGATCATGATCTCACAGTTTGTGAGTTCGAGCCCCACATTGGGTTCTGCACTGACAGTACAGAGTCTGCTTGGGATTTTCTGTCTCTCTCTCTCTCTCTCTGCTTCTCTCTCTTTCTCTCTCAAAATAAATAAATAAAGTTAAAAGAAAAAGACCTAAGTTAAATGTCCCTCCACCTCCTCCAACAGCCTCCACATTGGATAGCTTCCTCTTGTAGTTCATGCATCACATGCATATGGGACATGGCTGAGGGCTAATTGGTGGTAAGCCCCCAAGACCAGGGACACTGTCTCTTCATCTTCGTCTTTTCAGTTGCACACAGTGACTGGCATGTGGCAAGTGCTCAGTAAAGTCTGTTGATGCAATCAATCAACATGTGCACTTGCCAGTCTGTTTTATTTCCTCTCTTCTACCATCCTGTCCAGTCAGGGACGTTTCACCCCCCTGCCTTAGTTCAGACTCCTATCATCTCTTGCTTTCTAAACAATCTCCCTGCCTTTCTTCTCAGCCCCACATAGCACATCCTCCACATGGCTATCAGGATTCCTCCTCTTTTTGGCCTCATGTTTCATTGCATCCTCCCCCTCCATACACATACCCCATAAACTATATTCCAACTATAGTCAAATTTCTAGAATATTCCTCAAGTGGATGCCATTTCCAGTCTTCACTTAGGCTGTGCTCTCAGGCTAGAATGTCCTTCCCTCATGTTTTCATAATTAGAAAGCTTCTGATGCTTCAAGATATGGCTCAGCTGTCAACCCATCGCAAAACTTCTCACTGCATCCCCTAAATCCAAAATTACTGGCTTCTTTTTATACAGGCGCACCCTGGAGGCATTGCTAGTTCAGTCCTAGGCCACAGCAATAAAGTAAATATTACAATAAAGTGAGTCAGATGAATCTTTTGGTTTCCTAGGGCATATAAGAGTTATGTTCACACTATACTGTAGTCTAGTAAGTGTGCAATGACAGCATTATGTCTAAAGAGGCAATACATATGTCTTAATTTTAAAATACTGTATTGCGCAGGGCGCCTGGGTGGCTCAGTCGGCTAAGCCTCTGACTTCAGCTCAGGTCATGATCTCACTGCTCATGGGTTTGAGCCCCACTTCAGGCTTTGTGCTGACAGCTCGGACCCTGGAGCCTGCTTCAGATTCTGTGTCTCCCTCTCTTTCTGCCCCTCCC